TTATCTCTTCTCCCCTCCCATTCACAGATTGTCAAAGCTACCATTTCCTAGAAAAATGTAGACATTATTCTTGAACTTGAGATGAACCAAAAACACAGAGGAAACACAAAAACAAACAGCAAAAGGGCACTAGAAGACTATAGCTTCTCTCCAGGGGTTTTTCAGCAAAGGAGGATGAGAAAGACAGATGAATAAATGACAAAACGAGGGTTTTACTAATAAACAGTAGCCAGGCCAACACTGGACCCAAGAAAGGCAACATACCTTGATTCCCGCATAAATCTGATCTCAGAAAACTTCTCCATTGTCACTGTATGGTTCCAAGTGACCTCAACTACTCTTTCAGCAATGTAATAACTCACTCACTTGGTTACCGACTATCTTTACAGGCTACCATATTTTACTGTATATGAGGCATAGTTTTTTGCCCAAATTTGTGAGGGAAAAATAAGGATGTGCATTATACATGGGTAGTACTAATTTCGTTTCCCTGAAAGTTTGGGCCAAAAACATGGGTGCACATTATACAGAGCCAAATATGGTGTCTTCCAAGATCCACATTATTATTCTTCAAGGAAGACCAAGGGAGACTTAATCCCTGAAAACCTGGATGGTCACAGTTCTCCCTCTTCATTCCTTACTTATCTAGAAATGCTAACAGTTTCATTTGTAGGGTGTGAAGAACATGATACTGTGTTCCAGCTCCCACCTTTTGCAAATGCTACGAAGATAAGCAATTTCCCAGGAAACATCCCTTTTTAAGAAATGGACATTTGGGTATACAAATGCCTAATGAAGCAGGAAATTAAACAAACTTAACTTCCAGCCTCCAGGCCTCCATCTCACACCAATGAATGAATGATAATTAGGGTTTCAAATCTTTCATTGAAATAATAATAATCAATAAACAATGATGTTGCCATTTTCAGGCCTTGGGCAAAAATCATGGGGCTGCCCAGGTGGAACAGCATCCTTAGAGAAAAGCCTATTGGTTGCAAACCCCACTTCTCTCGCATTTTTGTTGTAGCGGAAGCAACTACATCAGGCTCAGAAAGGCCTGCGGTCCTATCAGAAGATGAGGAAGAGTGACAAGGACTCACCTTGGCCCCAGGTGACATTTGAGGCCAACAAATAGCCAGCACTGCCTGGCATCAAACTAAAGGGGATACACTTGTCAAAAGTCCTCTAATTTGATTCTTTTCACCCTTAAGTGGGGTCACAGCAGCAATTCTTAGCATTCAACAACAGGGTCGAAGTGTAGGGAGGAGGAAATGAAGTTGGAATACTCTTTGTAGCAAAGCTGGACCAGAGGGACATTGGTACCATTAAGTCCCTGATCTGCAGTCACACATGGATCTGAGGATAAAGTGCTTCTCACAG